CCTACAGTTCAGCGATTGAGTTGATTCCTTCCTGCTATGCTCACAACCCCAATCAACAACAATTATTGAAGATTTCCAGAGGACTTCACCATTGAAATTCACCAGAGCTATAGTGAAACTGACAATGCCCACGTGCATGGCAGCTGGATGTTGGAATACATCGGGTAAAAGTGAAACAAAATTAGATATTTCACCTTTCTGATTCCTGATCCTCCACGGACGGATTTGTCGTTGGATTGCCAACTTAAAGAGGGAGGATTTTATATCAAAATTCTGGCCAGAGAAAAAAACACATATTTAGCCAACATTTGGAAGAAGAATGTTTTCAAGATGACTCGGATAATAGCGCGTTATGACAAAAACCAGATACAGCACTGGGACTTGATCAACAGCCGATACCGCACCGTGACGTCCCAAACCAGTAGGTGGCGGTAGTGTTATTTGACAAACATGGATGCCTCCATTAAAGCACATTCAAATGAAAATTACTCTTAATTAAAAACACTTATCATTTATTGAACAGTATGGAATAATTTGTTATTTAAAGTACTTTCAGAAGTTTGAATACCAAATATGACCGGGCTTTTCCTTTAATAAATGAGACGTACATGCCTAAACTTCTAGACTTATGCCAAAGTCTTAGGATCCATAATTAACCCGGTGGAGGGGGGGACATTGATTGTTACATTGATTGACTCTATTGATCTCACAATGGAGAAATTCACTTTAAGATCATTAAAATCAATCAATGTACTTACTTTCTTGTAATACGGGCTCATTTTGGAGCACTAAACCTTAAGAGGGGAAAATTTAAGATTTTAATTATGTTTTTAATTATGAAAAATACTTTATTGGACTAAATGTTTTTGTTTTATCTATGTTTAAAGGGACAATGTTTAACAAACGTTGCTTTTTATTAGCAAAAAATCAAGCACTGCTTTTATAAATACATATTGTTTGAAAGTCTAATAACTTCAAAAGTGAAAACGTTCTCTCAGAATTAGTACCCAGCATTTCATCGCCATTTTAGATCAAAGCAGCAGAATGGGGGCAAACTTCTTCCCCTTACAGATTTTACTAGTAACTAAATACATCTGGTCATCAGAGGAGGAATAGAAAGGACCATCCATACTCTTTGTCCAGTGAGAGGCAAGAGACACAAACCAGAAAGAAGTGATAACTAAGAGAAAACAAAGAATGAAACTCCCTGTTTTTACTCCTCAACACAACCCCTGGAGCAAAGGTTGAACAGGTCTGTCAAAGCACATTAGATCTAGTATAGAAAACTGAGGCCACAACAAAACTCTTTACAAACAAAACAAAGGCCATCAACAGTGGAGGAGAACATGATGCTATGAATGCTACGGTTTTCTAGAAAAATCCTTACCTCCACCAGTTTGACAATGTTGACATGGTCCAGCTTTTTCAGAATGGCAATCTCTTGGTAAACTCTTTCCAAGGGTCCTAAGACTTTAGGTTGCTCTCCTTGGGCTGCCCTGGGTCCTCTGGGAGGAGGGCGACCTGCAGAACACCACCAAATCCAGATTATACCATAATGTATCTAATCTGGATGATTTATAATTAAATACATGAGGGTTGGATATTTTGTTTAGTTTCTAGCACCTAATCAGAGGAAAGTACTGTATATACAATAGACTGGAGCTTAATAGCATTAATGATATGGCTCTGATAATAATAGAGCCTCGCCAATAATAGGCAGATTAATCAGTAACGTTCTAATGAATAATGATAAAACCAATAGAATCCCCTCTGGAACTTAATTTAGCTATCTGTAACAGACTTTCTAAAGTTGAACAATGAAGCTGGGTGTCGCTGGGATTTGAATTAAAAATGGCACTGAAAGTTAAATGTTGTATGTTTGTACTTACTGTTTCAGTGTTAAAATATATTCAGAACACATTTTTGACCTAAAAAAAAAATAATTGTCATTATTTCTACACAGGTGAAATTTCATGTTATTTTCTCTTCAAGCTAAAAATTCACATTACTATTTCAAAGTGATTACATTTTCAATACTTATTTTTCAGTTAAATTTTTCAGTGTTAAAAAAAAAAATCTGCATATAAGAAAAATTCAACCTTTCAAAACTCAAACTCAATATTTTCAGCCTCCTGAGATTCAACTGGCTCTATTTCAAAAATGGACAAAAATATGTGTTCTGAATATATTTTAACACTGACACAGTAAGTACAAAAAAACAACATTAAAATTTCAGTGGCATTTTTAATTCAAATCCCAGTGACACAAATTTACTTCCATTGAAATCCAATTAACTAAATGCGATTTCACCTAAGCCTTACAGGTCCTGTTATTGACATTTTAAAAAAATACAGTCATAAAAAAACTTTGCCTTTATAGCCTTTATAACCAAACCTTATAAAGTTGAGTAACACTGATGAATACGGATAGGAATCGAAAACCTGTTCCTGTTCAGAACCAGTTCTGTGTGTTCCAATTCCATGGCACAGTTTGGCAGCTCACTTAACGATTCTCTTAACGATTCCAGGCAGCACCAAAGCAAGACTTACGTCATGGTTTTTACACAAGCTACGCACACGGCATTCAGTAGGCAAGAACGACGTGAGCAGGAGTACGTCTAGATAAGCAAAACAAATAAAAATTACGTCCCATCGGGTAAACCGAACGACAGTTTGGATGTAAAGTGGCAATTACATCCGCAGGAGGAAATACTTCCAACGTGCACAGGTTTCTTCCTGTTAAAAGGGAGTTTTTCCTTTCCACTGTCGCTACAAGCTTTCTTAGTGTGAGGGATTGTATTTGAGTCAATGAGTCGATTCAATCAACTGGTTTTTCTTAGATAGAAAACTTGAATCAATTTGACTGTGTGATCTGGTTGAACTGCAAAGTGCCTTGAGATGACTTGAGTTTTGAATTGGCGCTATATAAATAAACTGAATCGAATTAAATTGAGAAACACCTGCACACACAACATGGCATACATTTTAACGAATGCTGTGTTTTTGATGCTTCCGGACAGAAGCTAAAGTTACGACCATGGAAGGCAACTCTGGTGGTAAGTAGCTAGTTTTATATCACTGGTAGGGTTGTCACGATACTAAACTTTTCAACTCGATACCGATACTAAGGAAAATATTCGATACTCGATACCATTTTCGATACCACAAGGATAAAAACAAAGACTCCAAAAGTCTACAGAAATATTTTCATTAATAAATAAAATACAATAAATAAACACAATAAAGGTTGTATGCTGTGCACAATATTAAGCAAGCTTGATAAAAAACTTAGAAATTTCAAATTAAGTGTTCCTTCCTTGGCTATGCTTTGCACACATAACAATGACACTAGCCAAACCGGTTAAGAAACAAAAATAATTCTCAGCAGCTGCACCTGTTACAAAAAAAATTCTGAAACTGAAAAGAGCACAGAATTATTCAATCACACAGTGCTCTGAAAGTGCATTGTCCTCTATTCTGCACTTTAGATGAATGACTGCTTAGGTGCCATTGGTGGTGGCACTGTATCGATACTTTTAAAAACCAGTATTGTATCCGGATACAACATTTCAGTATCGATACTTTTTTGAGTTTCGATACTTTTGACAACCCTAATCACTGGCTGTGCTTAATGTGGTTCCTAATAAATCATATGCCATTTCTGGAAACAAACCCATTTCCTACCTCTCTGTGGGGTTATTAAACATGCTACGAAGTTGATCCGCAGTTCACAGAGCGAGAGAAAGGTGAAGCTCGTTTATATAAATCAGGGGGAGATGAGTTTATTTCCCGACATTGTACAGTAATGCTTTTTCATTAAACGGATGCCTTCTCCATTAGATTTAGATGACTGTGACGAGATGGGTAGCCTGGTTGGCTCAGAGGCTGGCAGCTCCTGTTCACTGCCTTCTGTTTTCGCCGAGGCAGGCAGAAATAGAATGTCCCAGGCGAAGGTAGACGAATGTCACCGTGCATTTACCAAGTTCATTGTTTCACAGAATCTATAAGAGAATCGATAAGGAATTGAAACGTTTCACAGAATCGATAAGGGAATAGGAATCATGAAAATCTTATCAATTCCCAGCCCTAATGATGCATTTCGGGAACAATATTTGTAATTTTGTAATTTTTTTTTTTTGTCATTTTTGTCTCATTTGCATGTTTTGCAGCTAGAATTCCCCGTAAAGGTTTGGACTTTACGGTGAAAACCAGTTGGGTATTTGTTTGCACTTGACAGATCAGCTGCGTAGGATAAAGCATCGACGTACAGTGGGGGAAATAAGTATTTGACCCCTTGCTAATTTGGCAGGTTTGCCCACTTACAAAGAATGCAATTATCTATAATTTTAATCATTTGTACATTCTAACATTGAGCGACAGAATCCCAAAGAAAATTCCAGAAATTCACATCATATGAATTTATAAAAATTGATAACCATCTGATGAGGAAAAACAAGTATATGACCCCCTACCAAACAGCAAGTATTTTGGCTCCTACAAGCCAGTTAGTCTTTCTTTAAGACACAGCCCCAATCCCAACCAATTATCTACATCAAATACACCTGTCACCTCGTTACTTGTATAAAAGACACCTGTCAACACCCAAACAACCAGTATCCAACATCACCACCATGGGCAAGACCAAAGAGCTTTCTACGGACATCAGGGACAAGATTGTTGATCTGCACAAGGCTGGGATGGGCTACAAGAATTTTAAAGCAACTTGGAGAGAAAAGATCAACTGTCGGTGCAATTATCAGGAAATGGAAGAAGCACCACACCAGCGCCAACCTCCCTCGGTCTGGGCCTTTACACAAGATCTCGCCTAGTGGGGTGTCCCTGATCATGCGAATGCTGAGGAATCATCCAAAAACCACAAGGCTGGAACTGATGAATCAACTGAAGGCAGCTGGGACCACAGTTACAAAAGAAACGGTTGGTAACACACTACGCCGTCATGGATTGAAATCCTGCAGCGCACGCAAGGCCCCCCTGCTTAAGAGGAAACATGTACAGGCCCCCATGAAGTTCGCCATTCACCACCTGGACGGAAGGTGATGTGGTCAGATGAGACCCAAATACAACTTTTTGGCCTCAACTCAACTCATCGTGTTTGGAGGGCAAAGAACACCGAGTACAACCCAAAGAACAACATCCCCACCGTCAAGCGTGGTGGTGGCAACATCATGCTTTGGGGGTGCTTTTCAGCCAAGGGGACGGGACAACTCCATCGTATTGAGGGAAGGATGGACGGGGCCATTTATCGTGGAATTCTGGACCAACATCTCCTTCCCTCAATGAGAGAGCTGAAGATGGGTCGAGGATGGGTGTTTCAGCATGACAACAACCCTAAGCACACCGCCAAAGCAACAAAAGAGTGGCTGAAGAAGAAGCACATCAAGGTTCTGGAGTGGCCTAGCCAGTCTCCAGACATGAATCCAATTGAAAATCTTTGGAGGGAGCTTAAAAGTTGAGTTGCCAGGTGACAACCTCGGAACCTGAATGATTTGGAGACTGTCTGCAGGGAGGAGTGGGCCAACATCCCTGCCGAAATGTGCACAAACCTTGTCACCAACTATAAAAACCGTTTGATATCTGTGCTGGCCAATAATGGCTTTTCTACAAAATATTAACATGCTGTTTGTCCAGGGGGTCAAATACTTGTTTTTCCTCATCAGATGGTTATCAATTTTAATAAATTCATATGATGTGATTTTCTGGAATTTTCTTTGGGATTCTGTCTCTCACTGTTAGAATGTACATATGATTAAAATTATAGATCGTTGCATTCTTTGTAAGTGGGGCAACCTGCAAAATCCGCAAGGGGTAAAATATTTATTTCCCCCACTATTTGTTTTTCCCTCAAACTGTTGTCATAATTAGAGCTTTTATCCTCAGCCAACGTATAACCAAGATTCAGCAACAATTTATGGATTTCCATACCTGATTACTGCTGCCAGATTCTTGTAGGTTTTCCTATAAAATATCCTTCAATTTATAGAAATTTAGCAGCCAGGATGATTGCATTCAGGACTGCAGTCTCTCCATATGGGTCATGCATTCTACGCTTTGCCTTTTCTTTCTTTAATTCTGCATTTACATCTGCAGCCATTTCTTCATTTTTTTGTCTTAAAAGCTTCTGGTTTGTGTTTGTTCCACACTTTAGACCCAGTAGAGCAGAAACAATGATTTGGATGATTTATATTGTTGTAGAAGTTTTATAATCCATTTATGGCTCTTTTGTTCACCATCAATCACCCAGCTGGATCAGCTCATTAAGGTCTGAAAAACTTTCTATTAAACTTCAGACCCAGGCAGAATTGTGCAGGCTGCTTATAAATCTAAGCTAATGGATGGTTTCATAATTCTACCTTCACATTAACAGCTGCTGTAGTGCCTTGGAAAAGGAAGAACTTTAGCTTAAGTTATAACATGAAAGCCACAGTTAAGTGGATTTCAATTGGATGTAATGTGGCACAGTGGAAAAAAATGATAGAAAGACATCTTTAACAATAGCCCCCCCCCCCCAACCCCATTGTGATTCTCCAGTATAGACAATAGGTTTTTAAGCTCATTTTCTGTCCAGATGGGATTTCAATTTCCCAGCATGTGGAGGGTGGATTGATGCAGTTTGCAGCATCTTTCTGTAGGAATAACCTCCTGAAGCTGAAAAAGGGAAGCTGTTTAGACTCTTTTACAAACTGGATGGAAAGAAAAGGGGTAACTGTGGCAGAAAAATCTGTTTCAGCCTTAAAATCTTAAACAGGTACTCAGAGCTAAAATAATACATATAAAATCAAAACTTTATCTAGTTCGCAAAGAATAAGGAATTAATTCAGACAAGCAACTGAGTTAGCAAATCACCAGACAGCCATGACTCCTCATCCAGTTCTCCTCCATATTTCCTTGTAAACATACAGCAACAAAAACATGGTAATCTGGTGCCATGCCAATGGGTGGATCAACTGACAATGAAGTAAGGATGGCATCTGATTGGATGTGGCAGCAAAGAATAAGATAGACAGCTGCAGTGATCATCTGGTAACCAACTACAACTAGCAGAATTAGCAGCCATCATTTCTAAAACAGCTGGTTGTGATCAAATTAATGTTGTAAAGAGTTTTTCCATTCAGACTGAGGAGGAAATTGTCTCCGACGCTAATCTGAAGCAGTTGGAAAGCTCCATCTTTTGACAGGCATGCAGGGTTTGCTCCAGCTCAGCGTATTATAAGCCTGGTGGGCCGTCAAGCGTTACTTTCTTCATTGGGGTCATTTTCCCTAAAAGTTGAGTTATCTTTTCTATCAAGAGGATCTTTCATAACAAAAGGACTATATTTTTACAGCCTGCATAATGTAAATAAGAATTGTGCTTTTCTCACAAATGTACAAATCTTTATAAAATATAACCAAATATAGAGATGTGAAACAATCATTTAAAGACATTTAAAGAAAGCTATGTCACTCCAAAATGCTGTCAGACCTCACCACTTGTATCAGTGAAGTGGCCGGAAGTGTAAGTTTCAATCTAGTAAACAGCAGACAATAATGTGAGCTAAGTTGCCTTTTGTATCTGTGCTTCTTTCTGTATCTCTGCTTCTGTCTTCTTGAACCCCAGTCGGCCTCGGCAGATGGCCGCTCACACTGATCCTGGTGCTGATGGATGTTTCTTCCTGTTAAAAGCAAGTTTTTCTTCTCCACTGTCGCTACAAGCATGCTTAGTGATCACTTATGTGATCGTCCATGCATCTATTTTCTGTCACGCTTATCCCAAGCTGGGTCGCGAGGGGTGCTGGAGCCTATCTCCAGCTGTCTATGGGGGAGAGCCAGGGTACGCCCTGTACAGGGCGCCAGTCTATCAATGAGCAACACAAAGACAAACAGGAAAATCACCCATTCACGCACACACTCACACCTAAAGGGAATTTAAAGAGGCCAATCAACCTAACAGTCATGTTTTAGGACTGTGGGAGGAAGCCGGAGTACCTGGAGAGAACCAACGCATGCTCAGGGAGAACATGCAAACTCCATGCAGAAAGAACCTGGGCCGGGAATCACACCCAGAAGCTTCTTGCTGCAAGGCAGCATACTACCCACTGCCACATAGCAGCCTGTTTCAGATCTATTTCATTTTACTTTTTTGCCAAAAGGTTTACAGCTACCTTAGCATTTCTAAATGGAAACAATCTCATATTACATAAAGAAATGTAAAGAGACTCACGTGGGAAACCACACTGCTTCATCAACCTCTTCTTGGACAAAACCTTCATGGCCTAGGACAGAAAAAAACAGATCAGACAGCATCAGCACACACCAGGAAAGCATTTTAAATGACATCTCTGAAAAGACAGCAATGATTTGTTAAAAGTTATGCAGAAAAAAGTAGGTTTTAATGAGATTAAATTCAATTTAAAATGTGGAAGTCCTCTGATGTTTGTTTGTGCTGAAGTTCAGCTAAAATCGAAGTGCAAAGCATAAAAATTTCAGAGATATTTTTGTTATGTTGCTTTGCATGAGTCCAAAGGAGTCAGGACCACTGAAAATTTTATGCCAAACAAGACTAACAAACAGCCTTTAGTGAGTTTTTCATAAAGGCACGAAAAGCTCTGAAAATAACAGATAAGTATTGTCATATAAAAGAAAAAGCTTCAAGTATAAGGATTTGCTCAACCATTCGCTATGCGGCCGTATTGACTGTGATTTTGTGGTTTGTTAACCCATCAGAAAAGAGGAACTTGTTGCATTAGGATAAAACAAGCTGTGCTGCTGAAGTGTGGCTCAGTGGTCTCTGTGGTTGTCATGGCTATGACTGTGCAGAAAGGAGCTTTGGCTGGAAGGCGGATCCTCGCCTCTACATAGTTTCCATGGTGTGCCGCCTGCGTTCCTCAGAAAATGGACTTTTATAAATAAACAGTGTCCGTTTCGAATCTGAATCAATGTCTGCAGCCAGATGGGAAGGAAAAATGTGAAAAACCCAGCGTTTTTCAAGAGCCCATCAATCATTTAGGCCAATAAAAGCTGATGAAATATGATCTATCTGTAGCTGAACTGCAAACGAGGAGTAAGGAGGAAACGTCAAGGATGTTTTACTTCAATCAAAGCCAACAAGCAGCAGAATATGCATGAAGGGTCCAGCATGATTATCATTGTCATTGCCTCATTAAGCATAAGATGTCCTCATCAATCACGTCGACTAGATTAGGCTAGAGTAATAGAAGAAGAAAGGTACAAACCTTTGTTGAGCTAGACTGAACTAGCATTGGCTAAATGAGCTGTGGTAATTAATAAAGGCGGTTATTACAGAAGCCTCACTCTAGCATGACATTATTAATTCTGTGAAAATGAAAGTAATCAGCCATTTACACGGTGGGATTTCTGTGGAAAGGTAACTGCATTTACACTGTAGCACCAGTCTTAACTAGTGGATAAAAGCAGCTGAAAATTGAAATTTTCAACAAACTTTAGCTTTTAGAACTAGTTCAATGAGGCCTAATGGATGTGATGAATGCAAGAAAATTTCTGTTTTTGCTTCATCTGGTCATGGACCTCCGCAGATGTTCAGATTTCTTATGACCTGTTATTTTGCTGAAACATAACTTAGTATCAAAGCCTGAAACTGACTAAATCAGAAATTTACAAACATCTGAAAAATAAACATGCTGAAACATGCATTTAATTTATTCTTTTATGTTTTGCAGCTAATGAAAGGCATTATTTTATTCTACAGATGAGATTCCCTGAAGAGATGCTGGTTCATTAATGACAGCATATGTGGATCCTGGGTTCGTACCTCTAATCCTCGTTAGTTCTGCTAGATCGAGGGAACATCATAGCGTAAATATTTTGCCTGTGATAAGAACATTATTGAGGAATAACTAAAAAAGCTTCAAAAATGAAGCTGAAGACAAAAGGAGAAAAAAAAACAACAGGAAAGTTCATGCCACAGCAATCAGCAGTCTGGGGCCTCCAATTTAACCGATCTGATGTCTGATAAGGATAAGTAAAGTAATCATGTTTCAAGGATAAATCAATTTATGAAGCAAACAACGGATGAACAGCTCTGCTGGCTAATTCTTTCTTGAATGTTAATAAAGTTAATAAATCTAAAATAACAGCAGCTTCAAACCTGGACCTGGATTATTCAAAGATAATGAAGATAATTAACTGCTTCAGGAACTCAGAGGCATTTTTTCCACGAGTTGCTGTAGGTGTTGATGCTGCAGGCAGGAATGATCTTCTGTAGCGGTCTGTCTAGCACCGGATCTAAAGAAGAAGACTCTCTGCTGATGAAGACGATGCTCACTCTTTTTCCTAATCTTCTTCTCAAGCTTCCGATAAGACTGTTTATTTGCTAATCCAATTTAAGCTGGGCATTTTTTTGCCCTTTTCGGGCCAATTTTTCCAGTTGTGCGAAATTTTTTCCAGTTGAGCCGAGTTTCAGCCTCATCGTGCGTCTTGCATCGTGTAGTTCACAGAGGCGATTAGCCTCTCACGACCACCTCCCGATCAGGAATCGTAAGGTCGGGAGAAAATCAAACATGTTTGAAATTCAGTCAGCCTTCATGTTCATGGACAAATTCTGCTGTTGAATTAGAGCTACGAGGGTCTACGAGCCGATTTACCAGAACCGCAAGCACTGTGCATGTGAAGACAACGGATTTCTTCTTCTTCTTCCAGAGTGATGAGTTGGACCAGCGCCATCTGTGGGCGAGGAGTCCGACGGGTGGTTTTTAGATGGTGTAAACGTTTAGAGGGTGTAAACCTTTAAACCCTGTAATTTCATCTTACAGTTTGAGCTGTAGTTGCGTTTAACGATTGAAAATATCGTTAAACACATCTACTGGCCAGAGAAAACTTCTGGCCAGAGAAAAAAAATACGTCATATGTAGCCAATACTTCAAAGAAGAATATTTTCAAGATGACTTGGATAATAATAGACACCAAATACAGCATAGGTACTTGCTCAACAGCCGATACTGCACTCACAAACCGGTAGGTGGCAGTAGTGTTCACATTCAAGTAAAAATTACTCTCAATTATAAAAACCTATCATTTATTGAACAATATGTATTAATTAAAAAATTATTAAGTTTATATTTAAAGTACTTTCAGAAGTTTGAATTGTGAATATGACTGGTTGAACCGAGTCTGATGTTCCCATCGGAGCAGAGCTGATTGAAAACAATTTTAACTCAGGTCGCTTGCCGAGTCGTTTGAGTCGATGTGGGTCAGTCAGTGAGCTGGTTCCACTGCCGCTAAAAGGCGATTTCTTGATGGAAGTGGGAATAGTACTACTGTGACTTAATGTGTGTGCCCTTTTCCTGGTTCCTTGAACCAATAATAAAAAAAAAACTTTCCTGGACACCTGTTTCTAGAAAATCCAAACATTCACTATAACACTGTTCCTGGCTGGGACATGAGGATTTGTTGCAGCTTTTATTTTTACATGGTACTTTAGTCTTTGACATGTTGAGCTTAATGAAAAAAAATAATCTGAACACATGAGGCAGATTTTTAATATTGTCCTTTCACAAACCAAAACTTTTTAATCTGTCTTTTTCCATGCTTTCACCCTGGTTGAGATCCATTATGCCAGTTGTAATGCAACAACAATAGAGTTGAGTTTACTACCTTTTACTGCCTACTTCTTTATACCTTCAACCTTTTTAGAACCAATACAAAATGGTGGCTTCTCTTTGGGTCACAGACCTATACATTGGAGGACCAACTTGTCAGAACAGGACTAAGCCATTCACCTATACCTGAAGGTTAAAGGACACTTATTTGAGGAAAACAAACTCCATGTTCTGACCAAGAAAGAAAGAAGGTTTGAGAGAGCGGTTAAGGAAGCCATCTTTGTTAACCTGTTGGTCTCTCAACAGAGGAGGTGGTCTTATACAGGCCCTTTCACCCACCTACAAAGCACTTTTAGGAACAATACCCAGAAGATTCCGAAAAAGAAGTTTAGCTTCCCACATCTTCAAACTTGGAAAACAAAATCCAGTGGTTTGTTTTTTAACTTCGTTTTTTGGAATGACTATGACCTGGATGACTGAGAATCTTAACCAGCATACCCAGAAGATTCACCTCTCACACACCCTCACCTGACTCTCACTACAACAAGGCATATGGCCAAAACCTCACTGAAAATGGAGTTACCGACCCATCAGAACTTCCCAACGACCATTAACACCCCCAGGTGACCTCCATGGCCAATCCAGTAGAAGGGATCAGAGCCACATTTTGTTCCCCCTAATTGTTGCATACAGTGTGAGCAATACGTTCGCATAAGAGCATGGGGCCATACAATGTAAGAACGTACATCATGGGCTGTGAAATTTTAAACCGTGTGGTTTTATAGTACAGTTTGAGTTGTAGCTGAGTGTGTTGGAAAGAACTTCAACTAAATCTCCTTCATTGTAATCACTATCCATTTTATCTGACGATCTAATTATCTCTTTTTTGTACTTTTTTTAGTAATGCTATTCTTTGTTGTGTGTGTTTTTGTAGCATTGTTTTCCCTTTTTTTCATAATTTATGGAGATATTTAATAATGTAATAGTAACACAGTAAACATACCTAAAAGGGAAAATTTAAATAAGAAAATAAAAAAGAAAGACACGAGTACAATAATGTAAATATCAAAGGATCATTTTTTCTCAGTGTGTCCCAGTGTCCTAAATTCCCATGAAGCCCTAGCATTGCATGCCTGCATGCTGCTGCATGTCTAAGCAGCTCTGCAGTATGCCACTTGTTCCGCGTCGTATAATTTTTTCAATCAAGAGTCAAAGTTTATATAAGAACCCTTTTTTATCCCCTCTCCCTCGCTGCATCAAGGCTCGCAGCTCGCCCATGTCCTTACATAACTGCTTAGTCGGCAACACCTCTGTGCCTTCATGGGCATGCATTTTCATTACTGTTGGGGCTGCAAGCTTCTACTGGCTGCACTTCAAAAGTCCATCCGGAGCTGGCAGCTTAAGATGACGTGAATCATCGAGAGGCTTTCATTGTTGCTGCTGCACAGGAAGGGCTTAGATGTGTGAAGGACTCCACAGATCGCCGGGCTAGTCAAGGAAACGCATAACCTGATAGAAATGCCACAAAGAATAACCTCATATGCAGACGTTCGTTTGCTGACCTGAGGGTATCAGGTATAAAAAAACAAAAGCTAGATTTAAAGAGATGAACAAAGGATGCGCATCAAATGGCATTAGCATCCTCCTCCCTCCTATTTTAGGATTCATATGAGGTCACCTATGTCATGTAGGGAAATAAAACCCAGATTTCAAACAGGGAGAAAAAGGAAAATATCAACAGTCTGATAAACAAAGATGAAAACGTTTCCGAGCTACAGAACCACCGTTACCCACTTACATAATGTTTGTCATCATCTTCGTTGTAGGCGAGCTTGACCACTCCATAGGAACCCTGCAACACAACAAAAGCCCAGATCAGATCCAGACCAACATGAGGAGAACATGCATTAGTCACTTAGACTCTACATGTTATTGAAGCTCATGAATAAAACCGGTCAGAGACTGTAAACATCTCTAAAGCATCACTTCCCAGAACAGACGGTAGCGCCAGACTGCCAGCATGTTAGCAGGCAGCCTTGCTCCTGTTCAGAAACATTTTCATTCTTTGGCAGCACAGAATGAGCTTGTCCCACACACGCATCATTTCCCAGGATGTGTTCTCAGTCTTTTTCTGACATGTTTCCTTCCTACAGAGGTGCAAAGAAGTCACAAACCTGGAATCACAGCTGCCTAAATTTTCTTCATTTAATGACAAGGAAAGCTATATGATCTTTTTTTTCTATTCAATTCAGACTTTTCTGAGTTCCAATATGTTTGTTTGCATTGGCAAGTTGTTATCAAAAGATTTTATGGGACATGCTGACAGCACATGTCAGAGATTTCCCTGTAAAAGAAAATGAATGATTCGAATTGTATGAAAAATGTGTAATTATTTTTAGGAGTGAATAAAAGCAGCGAGGGAGATGCTTATAAAATCATTGTTACGAACAGCTAAATAATAAGTAAGTGGAGGAGCTGATGGCTAAAAACAGAATTTAACAAATGGTTTATAGTAGGTTATTTTAGGTTATCCTTTGTGATTATGCTTTGTTAGTAAGTAAGGGACATAAATCATAAAAGACGGTTGTTTTTAATTAAGGACATAGACCAAAAGAATACATAGTTTGACACTTTGGTGTATTAGGCTTCTTATTAGGCTGCTCAGTGGCTCCAGAAACTGTACTTACTGTAACTATAACTTACTATAAATAAGTTATTTGCCAATAAAACGGCTTCGGCAGTCCCTAAACAGTGGCAGTAATCGTAAGCCTAGTGACAGCTGCCAGTACTACGGCGGGTCAGCCCGACCGGCCACCGCAAGTGTCACCACGCTGCCACAAACTGAGCTCAGCCTTGCTGCACAAGCATGTTGATGTTTGTCAATGCCCTGGATTCATTTTTTTGTGTAACGCAGCTGTACATAGTTTAACCAACAGTGGTCCCTCTCTTTTCTTACGACAATTTGTTCTCATTCTTTTCTTTTTCTTCTTCTTGATGTAAACTGAAGATGTTACCTTTGTTGGTTGTAAGGCAAGATACTTGTAAGATAAAGTGTTCCTCCTCCGATTCGGAGCTGCAAGCGAGCAAAGTGGTTAGTAGAATAAATTCTAGAGTTTTATTTTAGTTGTAATCCACTGATTGTGTGGATGTAAATTCATTGTTTTGTAGTTCTACGGTGGTCTATGGTGCATCCTGTTGCTAGCTGTGCTAGTTGCTGAAAGGCATCAATGAAGAAACCATCTGAAGTTAGTGACTCTAATTCACAGGTCCTGTCGCTACTTTCTCTTCTGTGTGCCGACAAACCCACTTCAAGCTTGTTATCGCCACCTACAGGGCTGAAGTGAGAAAACAGGTGTCTGACTGTTAAAGGGGTCATAGAATGCAAAACCCAGTTTACATTGTTATAGATGAATAACGATATTACAGTGGGTGAAATGGACGTACAGCGAAGTTCAAACCCAATCAACATCTTCTTTCTATGCAAATCTCACAATTCTAAACTTCCAGCATAAAACGGGAAATTCAAACGAAGCCTCGGGCTGAAGCCAACTCATTTGGTTCTGGCCTGTACTTTTGTCACGTCCCAAAATTGACTTACATTCACATACAGACTGTGAAGTAATTTTCACAGTCTTCCCAAGGATCTGAAGACTCAACAGGCATGGATTATTTACATCTATCAGCAGCTCCTTGCAAGGTTTGATGCTCAGCTGTTCATTTGCTCTAAGCATTTTACCGAAGAAAGCTTTAAAAATCTTGGGACGGTTCAAAGCAGAATTTGATAAACTTCTTTTACTGAAACGAGGGGCTTTTCCAACCGTAAAAAATCCCGGACGATTTTGAAATTCCCCCGGACATTTTTTTAGGTATGAAAAGTAGAACATGTCTGGGAAAAAGAGGACGTCTGGTCACCTTACCATATCAACAATTTGATGTTTCAGTGAGTCAGTGCTTGTTGCTATGATGCATCTTTGCTCAGCAGCTTCGCTCATTGTAAACCAACCAATCAGCGCACAGCTCATCTAAATATTCATGAGCATACCATTAACAGGAAGAAAACCTGTCGTTTACCTGTAGGGCTTTTAACCAGGCTTGCATTAAGGTTCATAGAACAGCAAATATGCCATTTTCAGCCCAACAAATATTACACATCCTATACAGAGACCTTAAGTACCAGCATCAAATACCCTATAGAATCATTCTATGACCCCTTTAAATTTAATGTGACCAACACTAATGGCCTCTGCAAACAACACTGGGGGTAAATTATAGTAATGTTTATGAAGAAATAAACATTCATGTAATAAAATTAATTGAGAAGTTCAGAATATTTCATAGAGACAAAACTATTTAGCTAACATGTACACCTTTATCCTCTTAAAGGAATAAGAATCAAGAGTCGATGGGAAATGCAATTGAAACAAGAAATCTGAATGGAAAGAGAAATCTTAATCAAAAGAGAAATCTGAATCAAAAGAGAAATCTGAATCGAAACGAGGAATCTGAATTTAAATGAGGAATCTGAATCGAAAGAGAAATCTGAATCAAAAGAGAAATCTGAATCGAAACAAGGAATATAAATCAAAATGAGGAATCTGAATTAAAAAAGAAATCTGAATCAAATGAGGAATCTGAATTGAAACGAAAAATGTGAATCGAAATGAGGATTCTAAAACGAAAAGAGGAATTTAAATCAAAATGAGGAATCTGAATCACCAGATTTGACCAGATTTCTATACATTCTGCTAAAGATGCCAATATCAACCTCTTAACATCCACCTCATTTTGGGTAATCCTCACCTATTTAGCATACCCAAATGGAAAAGCAAATAACTTAGAAACTGTAAGCCCAAATTACACATGCAATACATTATTTGAAAGCTAACACTCTCTAGTTTCCTAATATATAAATAAAATTGGGTGACTAGAACAGAGACCAACCTGCATTAGTTCAAACATGATTCAAAGTTGTTGTTTTTTTTATTCTCGGAAATGATAGGTCTTTTTTGAACAGCAGTAATAAAGACATTCGTGAGAAAAGGCAGGTTTTATTGTGTTATATTTGTTCTACATCATGTCAACCACACATGCAGAACATTTCAGACCTCTAGCTATAACAGTTCCAGAGCTGTGGGCTATGGAACGTTTGGAGTCAGCTTGGAGCTGCACGCAATGGCTCCACCTGCTGGTAAATATTTTACCGGTGGAATTTTATGAATTTTGAATTATTACCCCCACTTAAGGTAATTAAGAGGTTAAGGAGACTTTTCTGCAATTTACTGATAGTATAACAGAATGCAGCTTTTAGGCATGGACGTGTGTATTTCTCTTCTTTCTCCACCAGCAGCTTGGTGGGATCATTTTTACAGCCCTCACAGTTGCAAAGCTATGAAGCTCCTGAAAACATTTTTTTTTACTAAATAAGTAGTCAATGGTTATAATGAATAACTCAGCCTTATGTTAATCTGATGGTGGTGTGTTATGGTCACAGTCTTCCCACAAGACCAGCCTGACCTTCAATATACAGAGGATCAAAACAGGCCACTTCTCTTAAAGCCAGTGATGGAGCTATTAGGTTACTTTGAGAAGCAAGCCAAACAACGAGTTTTTCACCTCAAAAAAAACAAATTACAGCTTCCTCGGTGAACCCAAGTGGAACCGTCCAAGATCCTTCAGAGATCATCAACACATGTTAAGAATGTCATCTAATCACAGGGTGTGAAGTAGTTGGTTAAGAGGGCCTTTGCCTTACATTTAGTGCCTTTGCCTTACATTTTCTCAGGTGTTTCTCATGATTTAACACCAACAAAAACTGAGTTAAACTTTGAACACATTTTTGATTAAAAACTCTATGGTTAATAAATGAGTACTGACCATGTTGTTACTGTCCCCGACTCATGGAACCTGGCTCTATATGCATGTTAAAAGGTTTGCCATCAACAATATCACATGGTTGGAGTACTTTACATGCATTTTAAAGCAGATTTAAAAGCTCATTATTTGTAAAGCTTTTTTTTTTTTTTTTTTTACTGTTTGACATTTCTAGAATAGAAAAGACAAGAAAAGGAAAAAAAAAAAACTCACCTTTCCAATTTCACTCTTCAGTTTATACTGGTTCAGCTGGATACAATCCTGGGAGGAAGAGGAGCACAAGACAAAGAGTTAATTACCAGCATCAGCCACCTTCATCCTCATCAGAGACATCTCAACCAAATTAGAAGCATGTTCTGAGGTGAAGCGAAGAAAATGTTGATCCTGGGCGAGTGACTTTTCAACGTGACCTGAAAGTCATTTCTTTCTCAAATGTAGGTAACGATGCCGGTTGTAGCTTGTTTACCATCTGCAAATCCATTAGAGTGCCACTGTTTGGATGGCTGATTTGCAGTTCCATAGCAACCAACTCCCCCAGCATGGAGTCAGCCAGGGCTGCGGCAAAGCAGAGCTGACCACAGCGGGACTCAAGAGGAGGAGGAGGAGAGACTCAAGGTGAGGATCTGTTGGTGGGAGGGCATTGCATGAAGAGGTTGGTGCAGAGCGTTCATGGACTGCTCGTTAATGAGAAGAGAGTGAGCGGGGATTTCTGACTGAAGAAGAAAGAGACTTTACTGTGGGGAGAAAGGATTAAAAGCTGCTCTCTGGTTAAAGCTGCTGGTGGTGAAGGCTTCTGAGGCACAGCAGCGCCTCAGGCCAGAGCCTGGAACGTGTTTATAGGATGGAGAGATAGAAGCAGGGCAGCTGGACTTCAAATGATTCAGAGGAGGAGACACCAATCAGAGCATTTCTAGAAAAAATTATGAGTCATTAGTGTTTGTGCTGAGAATGTAATAATTGAGGAAAACTGTTGCATTGATTAGTTGTGCTGGGATGGACGAGCTAAAGAATGGGGGGAGTAAATGGGAATAATGGAAAGACAGGAGGTTTTATGGAAACCGTGGTTCTATAGATGCCGCGCTGCAGCTGATGCTCTGTTAGGGGTAATAGACAATGGCAGTAAGCCTTAAGTAAGTCTCACGCTTTTAATGCTTTTTACACAAAAGTCAAACTCGAAAACTTAATGTGATGCAGGAATCCCAACAGGGATTTTTTGCTCTATATCTTTAACGGACGCATGATTCATCAGCTTTCAGTTTTTTTTTTTTCTTTACCAAATTACAGCTGAAAAAACCACTTCATCAGGATTCTTTGTTTTAAAGCAACAAGAAGCAATGTGTAGAGGTGAAAAGAAAAGGAAACCTGTTGGCAAACTGTGGCTCATTGGCCTAAATTCAAAGGGATTATTAAATCAAATGTACTGTTTTAAAAACAACATAAAGTCGAACTTCCCCTTTAAGGCTTTCTGAATCAATACATTGCAGAACAACTTGCTGAAACATTATAGACTGTGTGGTTCTTAGGACAGCTCTCCATTTCCTAATGATGGATTGCATGGTGCTCTTCAAGGTGTCGAAAGCTTGAACTACTGTTTCAATAAAGCAACTCTGCTTTAAATGGCTGCAATACCACCTTCCTGACCTATATGCTCTTTTCCTCATTCCCCATGATGCCATTTGTTCACTAATGTTCTCTGACAAACCTCTCAGGTCTTCAAAGAACAGCTGGATTTCTACTAACCGGCAGCTGCTGTAAGGTTCTGCGCGATCAAAGGACGGCAGGCTTTCATTAATCTCAAATATAATCGATACCTTTCCTCATCACATCTTTGTGATTAATTTCTTTGTCTCCATCATCCGTTAAAAACAACAAAAACAATAACTATCTTACTCTGTCATTGTTCCCTAAGTTAATCTTGGAGAGCGATTTTTTTTATTGACGGCTCTGGTGATTTTTCTCTGCTGAAGACAGCTAAGCAATATTGATTCTATCAAGCATGCTTTATTCCTTTTTTTTTTTCATGCACACAAATACAGAGAACCCCTCACTACCCTTGAATCTGCAAAAAAATTAAAATAAAGTGGATAAAGTTTTGTAGCATTCGGCATTTAAATTCATACACATAAAAACACGTAGAGAATAAACCGGAGTATACAGACCATTATAATGAATTAACTGCATTTGTTTTCCACACATCTGGGAAAGCAGAATACAGTGAATTTATTGTGAATTCACAATCAATGTGGTGAAGTAAATATAAGGTTATAAATAAGTCAATTAATAATAAATGTAGAAGCCCTGAAGGATTTTTATTTATTGTACTTTTCTAGGACTGTGTAGAAATTAAGCCAAATGTTAATCGAATAGTAAGGAAAGATGAATCAATTTCTGAAAAAAATAATAATCTTAAATGACGCTAAATTAAAACAGCAGTAATTCATAGGAATCATCAGTTGAATATAAAATCACAAATATGACCAATTTATACTATGGACTGGTCTCTTCAGGGCTGCACCACATTGCTTTTCGCCCGACATGTTATCTTTAAATCCATTTAAAGCTTAAAAAGTCTTCATGTAAATATTATGGTAGGCATGGAAATAATTCAAAATTATGGTAAAGCAAATTAGACAATAAATATTTGCAGGAAATACAGATTAATACGTTTCAAGTCATTTTAATGACCTACACAGAGCAGTAATTAGGAAAGTCACATAACATATGGAGCTGGATGCTGCACTACTCTGGTATTGCATATAGGGCATATAGGCGGTGGGCCTTGCTCATTGCCCCCAGCTCACTCATCACATGTTGGAGTTCACCACAGTGAAAGAGAGGGTTGCTCCGTACGCCTTAGGGACAGGTCTCTCACTGTCTTGGCTGACACGTGTCTGCAGCATCGCGTGGTGTTCTGGGGACAGATCCCCTGGATTGGCAGACAAGGGTGGTGGTCCCTCTCTTTAAATGGGGATCGGAGGGTATGCTCCAATTACAGAAGAATCAGACTCCTCAGCCTCCCCGGTAAAGTCTACTCCATGGTGCTGGAGTCCTCTCCAGCACCATGGAGTAGACTATCATGCTGATAGTCAAACCTCAGGTCCAGGAGCAACAATGCAGTTTTCTTCCTGCTCGTGGCACATTATACCAGCTCTATACCCTTCTTTGGGTGATCGAGGGTTCCTAGGAGTTCGCGCAACTAGTCCACATGTGGTTTGTGGATCTGGAGAAGGTGTTCAACTGTGTCCCTCATGGTGCCCCATGGGGGGTGCTCCAGGAGTATAGGGAGACATTCTGATAAGGGATGTCCATGCACTGTATGACAGCAGCAGAAGCTTGGTTCCCATTGCCGGCAGTAAATCAGACATGTTCCCATTCCATGTTGGTCTCTACAAGGGCTGTGTTTTGTTACTGATTCTGTTCATTACATTTATGGTCAAAATTTCTAGGCGCAGCCACGGATTGGAGGGTGTCTGGTTTGGGAACCTCAGGATATTATCTCTGCTGTTCGCAGATGATGTTGTCTTGTTGGCCTTATCAATCCGGGACCTTCAGAGTGTACTGGGCAGTTTGCAGCCCAGTGTGAAGAGGATGATCAGCAGGATCAGAGTTTCCTTTGCAGGGTCGCTGGGCGCACCATTCGGGGTTGGGTGAGGAGCTCAGTTACCCAGAAGGAGCTCGAAGTAGAGTCTTTGCTCCTCCCCGTCGAAAGCGGACAGCTGAGGTGGACGTCTATTCTGGATACCTCCTGGTCGCCTCCCTTAGGAGGTGTTCCAGGCATTTCCTATTGGGAGGAGGCATTGTGGAAGGCCCAGGACACGCTGGAGGGACTATGTCTCTGAGCTGGCCTGGTGTCACCTTGGGGTCCCCCAAAATTTATATTTTCAAGAAAATATAAAATGCTGTGAAGAGATACTGACGCAGTCAGTCAGAGCTGTTCAAGAGAAACCCACAGCATAGAGACTGAATAATCCATTTTCCCTTTTATTATTTAAAATATGAAGACCGTTCAGAATGACATGCTGTGGGTTTAAACTGTTAAAATAAACATTTCCTGGACAGTTACTGCAAAAGATGGACCGTCAGAGCAGCTGAACCCTGTGCATTAGTTTGTGTTTTTGGTGCAGCACTGTATGCATAAACCCGTCTCGCCCGGAATGAGTTGAAATACATGGTGACTTTCTTAAAGACATTTAGTAAACAGTAGATTATTCATCTTCATGGCTCTACGACTGTATTTCTGCTTTTGCTGTGAGAATGTCATGGAGGACCTAAGTGGCTCAAAGTTCTTATTCTGTTTCCTGTCTGTCCTTTTGCTCCCATAGCCGCAGCCCCATTCAACACATTACAGGTTCCTGCAGCATAGGAATAATCTCCCAATTCCTCTGGATTATCTTAATCCAAACTTTAATCCACTCCACATCAGAGTTATTGTGTTTGAATTTGAACTCTAGTTCCCTCTGCTGCAGAATAGGATTTGTGCACCATGTTTACATCGCAAAGTAAAAAAAAAAGAACAGCAGCAAACGTCACAGGAAAGGAGTTGGTCTTTTCTTACATGCCACTATGCGGGATATCCAAAAGCATAAAATTTATTCTTCTGATTTTAGAGAAACAAGTAAATCCCTTTGAGCATCTCTCACAATAAATTAAAGCTCCAACCACAACACTACTGTTAACATATATTCCTCCAAGGTTTCAAGCAGAAAAAACCTGCAATTGTGCAAACAGGAAGTGTTTTCACCTCCCTTTGAAAAGTGTCATCTTCAAAAAAGCAGTGGGAGAATTAAAATGTATGTGAGATAAGGAAATGACAGGCCCATCTCCGATTTTATATATATATATATATATATATATATATATATATATATATATATATATATATATATATATATATATATATATATATGTTTTATCACAGTGATGATGGCATGAATGCTGCATAGTTGTCCGTGATGGCGTCACCAGGTGTGGGTCTGCCCAGACAAACTAAAAGACTATGTGGTGCCTGCCCTCTGCACATGCAAATGAGGGTAAGATAGTTTGATATTTATATATATCTATGTGTTAAAATTAGATGCAAGCCATATATTTTCAGTATTTCAATTACTTATAGAAATGTTAGACCATAATACCATTAGTATCGTTTAATGTTTCAGTCTTTCTTTTTCAATAAATTTGCAAAGAATTTTACATTTCTGTTCTTTTTTTGTCAAGATGGGGTGCTGAGTGTACATGAATGAGAAATAAAATTAACCTTATTGATTAAACCAATGGCTGCAATAAAACAGTGAAAAATTTAAAGGGGTATGAATAATACCTTCTGTACATGACCCTGTACCAAATTGTTTGATGCAGGAAATGTTTACTTGGTGGTTTATTGCTTAGTTAAGTGTTTGCAACCACCAGACAAATTTAAATGATGGACCCATAATCCTTCAACTTGCTTGGTGTTGTGCAATGACCATCCTGTCATTGCATAGTCTGCACCCTGTCACGTCATTTGGTCTTTTTCTTTCATTTTTCTGTTTCGTCATACATGAAGGTTGATTTAAAGCAGGAACTTGCACAAAATTTTGGAGCTGCCTAATATTACAAATAAACAAACAGCTAAATAATTTCTCTGTAACAACCAAACCAAGTAAGTATCTGCCAACTCCTGTTCATTTTCATCTTTGTTATTACAGGGGTTACCGGTCAGATGATATATTATTTATTAATGCAATTATTATTCAGGCATCTGACCAAAAGAAGGAGTGAAATTAAAGGAGGAGCTTCTTCAGTTAAATACTGTGTTTAAACTCTCCTCTCCTTTGTGTTGCTGTTGTCGGCACCTAGTGACCTGTTTATTTGACTTTGACTTCTTGTTGGAAATCTAGAGGATGTGTAGATGCAGGTCTTGTTACAAAAAAGGAAAAAAATCTCAGTTTTAAAAATCCCCCAGTTATCTGTGGCAGATGGTTAAACTTAAAACTTTTTCCTCTCCACTTTCACCACATGCATGGGTGGATGTCAGTTTGAAGGATTGTTCCCAAGTGAATAACAGCTGCCATGTCCTCGTCCAAGAGGAATAAAATCTGCAGGACTTTGACTTTGTTCAATCTGTTGGGAAAGAAAAACTTGACGCCACTAGCTTATGGTCCTTAAGGGCTAATCACCAGGGATCATCTAAGGCTTGTTTTTGATAGAATTTTTTCGTTCTTGTCATGCTGCATCCAGCTGGCACCAAGGACCAGCGGATGGGTCTTTGGAGCAGGAAGGTGAGATAACATATAGGAACTCATCCAGCAGATCATTATGCTGCAAAGCAATGAGCTTCTGTAATGGATTCATCCATTTCATAAAATAAGTGTTAAAACTCTACTGTCAATTGTGATTAAAACACATTCAGAGCCGTTTAACAAAGAAATCAGTGAGTAGCTCTAAAGCAACTCCAGTGTGGTGGTTTGTCATTTCCATTCTAGTAAGAGGGAATGGTCCAGGTTGAGTACTGAATAGAAAGGGATCATGAAAGTGACTTTGAAGATTTTAGGCCTACATTACTCTCATTTTTTAAGCAGAGCTGCAAAAAAGGTATTTTCATGTTTTCAAGAAGAAAGTGAAACATTATGAACCCACCTGAGAGTCTGATATGGACACCCGTTTGGACTCCACTGTGGGTCTGCGAGCACCACGAGGGGAAATGTGCGGGTAAGCACCCTCTGGGCCCGCTGACTGATAGGTGCCCCTCTCCTGAAGGGACAGCTTCCTCGCAGACAGGTGGGGTCGCTGCACCTGAACCTTCTTGCTCTGACTCCCATCCTGCTGGGCCTTGCCGTTCTTTATGCCATTGGCAGATGATCCTTCAGTGTCTGTTGTTTTCATGGCGGCCATGATGTCTGTGAGACTACCAGATTGCTTGGAGGACTCAGAGTCCAGCCTCTGGCCGGGGTCACTACTCATTGCCATGGCACCCGGTGAAGGGGGGAAGCAACCACCAGCATCAATGTGACCTGGGCAGGCCCGCGGCCCTCAGATGACCTGGAGGAAATAAAGGAAGGAGAGATAAGAAACCGGCAAACTCGGCTTCCAAGAACAAAACCAAACTTTTTCTTCGGAACCATCCAAGCTGTTTTCAAAAGTAGAATTCATTAAAGCACATTCCAGTTCATGCAACATGATCAGCCAATTGAGCTCTTTTAGTTTTGCCATCATCACCTCTGAATTCACCTACAATTTTGGAGAGGTGCAGCAGAGTGTATGCTGAAGGGGTGCGGGCATATCTGCGTTAACTTCGACACACACGCAAACGACCTGGTTTGTGAGTATAAACCAGTCTTAATCCGGACCCAACCTGATTTAAAACATTTATAAATTACCGAATGTTGTTCGACGACAGTCTCTAACTTCACTTGCACTGCTTCTCCTGTTAATACGGTAAAGTCCTCCAGAGCATCCAGCACCAGGCTGCACGTGATACAAATTAGCCAAATTTGTATCACGTAACACTTTAGATTTTAAAATGGACACGTTTTCTGTGTTTTTTTTTTAAATCCTTTTATTTAAAAATTCAGTGCATAACATGGATGCATAAAAACCTCATTTTATTTCAGTGTTAAATTCTGTGCAGTAGTTCTGAAGTAATAGATTATAATTGAAAATGTCTCCGGACCTTTACTAGTTGTTGATTTTCTTTATTCGGATCCTGCTGATTTTTAATTGGTTACCCCTGGTCTAACATATACAATCCAAATAAAATGCATTTTTTTCTGGAAAAGTTAAAGGGGTGTAAATACTTTTGCATGTCCTAAATTGTTTCATCAATGTTATTCCTTTAGAAAGGCTCTGCGGAGGTTGTTGCAGATTGACTGAGACAGACACTACTGAAGGTTAACAAGTAAAGCTGATCAGAGGTTGGAGTTTAATTAAGCCGTCTGTCGTCTCCAAGTGCATGTGTGTGGCCTGGTGGCTAATGTTTCCAACATGTGCTCATTAATTCAGATAAATGTCAGAAATAATAAAAGCAAGCCCTTTCATTGGAAAGCTAATTATACGTTATGTTTTTTGTCGTGACTGGGTGAATTCCTGCGAAATGTACAATGGCTGACCAACACGAAGAGCATAAACAGCAAAGTTATCAGATTTGGACTGATTTATAACAATTATATTCAACTCTATATATAAACATTTGTCAGGGCTGTTTTATCTTTTCATTTATAGAATAAAAAAGTGAAGTCCTT